TTCAGTTTGATAAACTGACTAAGGCACCTTTTGTTTGATTAGTTCTGGTTTTTATTTTCTTAAGACAGAATCTTACTATGTGGTAGGCTGACCTCAAACTCACCATCCTCCTGCCTCAGTTTCCCAGGTGCTGAGATTTTAGGAGGAAACTGCCATGCCTGGTTCTGACTGAAGCTTTATTCAGGTTTAAAGTGCTTTTTAAAAGGAGGGAGAGTGTTTTGTTTTGGTTTTTTGGTGGTAGTGGGGTTTCAATTCAGGGCCTCACGCTTGCTAGGCAGGCACTCTACCACTTGAGCCCACAAAAAAGGTTTTTAACCCTTCAGATTTAGGTAAATTTTTGCTGATATTTTTCAGTCTGGTATTATCCTTTGAGTTTCCATGGTCACTACTGCATTTAATGTTACCTAAAATAAGAATTCAGTTTTCAAAAAAAGGCCATGAGTGACTATTTGGCTTGCTTGAGTTCATGAATTCTTAAAGAGGCCCCAAACTTTTGACAGTAATAGCACCAAAGTCAGCTAACTTAAAATCTCTTTTAAAAATAATTCTTATAGTATCTAAAAGAGTTATCCGGTATCAATAAAAATTCTATTCCACTTTTCATTTGCTTCTCGAGCCCACACCACATCCTGAATTACTGTTTCCACGGTTATAAACTGTCATTTCTGTTGGGTTTGTTTTGTGGTACAGTATAATGGGAAATTTTTTGTTAGTTGTGCATCTCCAGCTAAAGTGGAATCAGAGTGAAAACTTGAATGCAGAAGATAGTGACTACACCCTGACTGGAGTAATCAATGCCAGAACATCCTTAAAGCTTTTCTTCTGTAACAAGGGCAAACTCAGCTGAAAAGTGTGTTTAAGTCATGCTTAGCATAACAAGAGCCTTGAAACTTTATCTCTGTCTATGAATATACCTGACTCATCACCATAGTGCCTTTCAACTCAGCCCCACTCAGCTCAACTGCTCTTCTTGCCTTATACAGATAGTTAAAACTCATTAAGGCTTCTGATGAGGGCTGTAGGGGTTTTATACTTAATATTCTTTTATAGCACAGGAAGCTCAAATCTCATGAATATCTCAAATCTACAAAATAAAATGCAGGGCTTTTTGTCTGTGTACTCTAAATTTTTTTGTTGTCTCTGACTGTGGTTGTTTTATAGTTTTGTCATGAGTATTTATTTGTAAACAGCAATTACATCACAACAGGGTCTTTTTTTTAAAAATTAATAAAAAGAATGACAACAAAAAGAAGTAACAAAAAAGTTTCATTTTATTAATCTGAAGTTAAGAAAATCAAGGAGATTATAGTTGGCAGCACTGCTACATCCTAACTTTTCTCAACATATTTTGTAGGAGTTAAAGCATCTTGGGTTGTGTTATTCACAAATAGCTGACCATTCAGCCCTGTTCTTATCCTGTTATTCTCTATGAAGAGCATTGTTATGGTTATCTACTATGAAAATTATCCCATACAGCAATAAATGAACCTATTTTAACTGCATTGATTTCATTAGCTCTTTTTCCATGTTGTAACAACTTTAATGCTTTATTATATTACTTTGTTACTTTTTGACTTTATAACTTATCTGTAATATCTCATTTTGCCTTATACAGTTCAGTACTAAAAATCTACACAAAGAATTGACAGTTTAATCACTTCCATGTATTTTAAGGTAGTTTTCAGTGAACTGACTTGTTGTAATGTATGGTGTTAACTTTCTCACATGAGATGGAAGACATCTTTCCTTACAATACTTTACTGTCAGGGTTTTCCTAGATTCCCAACTTTACTTTTATATCCAGAGAAGGACTTCCCCGTGAGAAGTTTCTAAATCTTGTCTCCTGCCTTTGCCTTTTGTCTTGCTCCTTGACTGATAATATGATTCTTGGGGCCCTATGTCTGCCCTTCCAAGTGGCAATGTCTGTACACCTTGATGCCTAGTCAGTGCTAACTTACTATGACACCTGTAGAATAGAGAAAACAATAAAGATCAGCCTTGCTTTTTCTGTCTGGCTCAGGTATCATTCTTAGATCTTCTGGTTGGCTCTGTTGATTTAATTGTATTCAAAAAGGGTTGTTTCCTTTTGCTTTATTCTGTTCTTTGACTCTACTAGAGAAGCAGGACTTCTCATATACTCTTTTTTTTTTCATTTATTCATGTGTGCATACAATGTTTGGGTCATTTCTCCCTCCCACCCCCGTCCCCTTCCTTTCCCCCTGCCTCCTCTCTCTCCTCCCACCCCCCTCGCTTCCAGGCAGAAACTGTTCTGCCTTTATCTAATTTTGTTGAAGAGAGAATATAAACAATAATAAAAAGGACAAAGCATTTTTGCTAGTTGAGATAAGGATAGCTGTACAGGGAGATTGCTAGCGTTGCTTCCATGTACAAAGACCTGTTCTCTCTGAGGCATGAGCAGCTTTGGGGAAGACACATTTGCAAAAATGAAGAAGCAAAGATCACCTTCCTAGCCAATGAAATAACTGACCAACAGGGTAGCATTAAGTTAAAGGCAGGTCAACCTCACATTCAGATGTTTTTGGCTTACTCTACACAGCACTGTGGATAGCTCATGCATTAATAGGTTGCTTGGCACATACTTATAAAGTAAATGGTATCTATAATATCCATCTAGGAGGTTCCATGTCACATAGCAGGAGTGCAAAGATGTGAAACTCTAGAAGACTGTTTAAGACAACAAATGTATCTGAATGGAAAAGGCAGTAAGTTCACAGGTGTCAAAGATCCCTATGACACGTAGTGTATGGGCAAGACTTACCAAAGAGATAAACCAAGCCCTACTTAGATGTTTACTATTAACTCTGCTTCTACCATTTCCTGCTTGTTACCATCAACTGATCCTGACAGTTGAGTTTGCCTCCTTATAATAGTGGATTTTTCTGGAGAGGCTAATACAGATCCTAATACTTTGTGCATTTCTAACTAAAACACAGTCTCAGAAAACTATTCTTGACTCCAGAGATCCTAATAATAGTAAACTCTTAATACTCTTTGAGTGACTATCGATTTCCTAACAGTTTTTTTTTCTCCCTCATTTAGATTATAAATACTTGAGGGCCTGGGACTATGTGTTTCCCATCCTTACTTTGTAATTTCCTATGAATAAAACTGACCTGATTCTTACATTGTAATCTAATCACCTACTAAGAGATCCCCACATTTGTTGAAGGTGATGGATTAGCTTCTCAAGCTCCCTAGTCCAAGCAGTGCTGGTTGTCTTGAGCATTCCCATCACCTGCCTTCCTCTGATCTCTGTTTCTGTCCCACCTAAGTATGCTTCTACTTATTTGCCCTGATCACCTCACTTCCGTAGCACACTAAATATATACTTTTAAGGAGATACCAAGACTTCCCTTAAGAATATGTCTTTTTCTATACGGCAGTCCATACACATAAACCAGGAGACAGACACAGTGGTAGTTAAAATTTGACTGTATATAAAGAAAGCCATAATAGAGGGCAGCCAAGTTGATTTTAAAATTCATCAAGTTAATATAGCCTTACTTTTAAATGTAATGTTTTTAGTCACTATGTTTTAACTCAGCTAATGTAATAAAGCTTAGGTCAAATTCACTTGAACTCACTTTTTTTCCAATTAACTAAAAATATTTCTATTCAACTGTTGTTTTTAAACAACTAATGAATTTTCCCCCTGTGGTTTTCTTGTGCAAGTGGGCTGCTTTTAATATGTAGGCCTTAATGTGTAATTACTCTGTCTCTCTTTATCTTTCTTTCTGATCCACCTTTCATTCTGTTTAGCAGGCACTGGTTGTTTTGTGATTTGATAAATAGTATGTAGGTGTATGTGGAAAGAATATATGCCAGCAAGATTCTTAAGTGAAAATCTGTATATTGTAATCTATTTCCCATAGACTGTCATCTTGAAATCTACTCAAGACAAATTAGAAGTCTTTTCACCATTAAAGTGCAGAAGTTCATTTATTTAACTTTAAATAAATATTTCTTGACATCGCACTATGTGCCAGATATAGTTTCAGATGCTGAGGATTTAGTGGTGAACAATATAGGCAAGGATCCTGCCTTTAGCCAGCACCCATTCTAATGGGAGTGACAGTGGAGACACAGACTACAGCCAAATCAGATACTCAGGCTGTAGAGACAGCAGTTCATTTCCTGATTCTTCATCTCCCTCTACTGAGGCCATATCTACAACCATGTTACCTGTAGTGTTGAGTTTGATTTATAAAAAAGATGAGGGATGCTGGGGAATGTCAAGTTTCTCAGTGTTAGACTGGAATTAAATGAGCTTTACTCTCAGAATCATAAAGATAATCATTCATTGAGCAAACATTTATTGAGCACTTTATCATCAGGGTTCTATTATGTTACAGGCTTTATAATTCCTACATGCATGCCCTTAAGGACCTCACACTCTTGTTAGAGAGACAGACACATAAAATAATTACTGATATCCAGTATGATATTATTGTAAATTTTTATTTTAAGTACAATGGGATCACCAAGAAAGCAGTAGCAAATACTTGTCAGCCTGGGGAAAGGTTCACCATAAAGGGACATCTAAACTGAGTCTTAAAGATGATGGGAAGTACAGCATATTTCACTCATTTAGCAAATGTTTACTGAGTACCAGAGCCAGGTACTACTTTAAGCACTGTAAACACAGCAGTGAACTAGACAACATCCCTACCCCCTGGCAGTAGAGAAACACACAATAGACAGGTAAACAAATAAATATATATTAAGTGGTGATACACACAACCAAAAATAAAGTAGGTTAAGAAGGGGACCAGAGTGACAAGGGATGCTGTTTAAATAGGATGGTCAGAAATATCCTGTCTAATGAGAGAATATCTGAGCAGAATCCTGAATTATGTGAGAGAATGAGATCAAGAACAAGGAAGGCAAAAGGAACAGCATGAGCAAGGGCATAATAGGCATGAAAGCATGACATCTTTAGGGCAAAATGACTTGCAGGACTGGTGGGAAAAAACAGATTAAGTTTAGAAACTGCCCTAGTGAAAGAGTGGAATGTGGCACAGTGTGGGGGTGGGAGGTAGAATCTGAGACAGTAAACTGTTGTTAGCTAGAAATTCAAGTAACAGTGTCTTGGTTTCTTAAGGCACAGGGACTGAGGATGTGCACAGGAGGGCCTGTTGGCAGTATTTTGGTCATACAGATAGTAGAGAGGGAATAATTAATGAATTAAGGGATGGGACTAGCAATGTCTGCACCTTGTTGGGAGTTGAAAGCAACAATCAGGAGGAAGAACCTACTCCCTTAACCCTGAAGACCCAAGGAGATACCAGTGAGTGGGTCTGCAAGATTTGTTAGTGCAAGGGCACAAATGCGCTCTTGGCCTGTTTCTCTTGCTTGCAACGCCAGCGCCGCCCTCTTGGGGGCGGGGCTCGAGGGCGAGGCTGGTGGCTGTTCAGAGGCCTCGAGAGACATCAGTTCCTACCAGACTCTTGCTGGGGGTGCCGTCCTACCCCATGGCAGGATACAGGCTCTCAAACGCCTATGCCCTTCCAAGCAGTGGTGGAGGTGGCCTTGAAGGGCCGATGTCTCTGGAGGTTGACACTCCAACCTGGTTGAGCACCCAGGCAGCCCCTGGCAGGCTAATGGTGCGACCAGCAGTCTGTCCCAGCGGCTGCCCAGGCCCTGAGGTGTGGGGAGTGCCCCTCGTACCCCCACCTTGCGAATTCTGGGGCGGGATAGGGCCCCGCGGAGCTGTTGAGGCAAGGGCCTGGTTCCAGAGCCCCAGTGAAGACACCTGTCCGGGCCCCTACATCGCCCTGCGGTGCATCCCAAGGTTGGCGGTGCCAGAGGACGTCTCGGCCATAGAGAAAGAAATGGAGCAGCTGGCCAAGGAGCTGAGGCAGAAGAGGATGGCCTTGGGGTACTCACAGGCGGATGTGGGGTTCGCCGTAGGAGCTATGTTTGGAAAGGTTCTTAGCCAGACGACCATATGCCGCTTCGAGGCCCAGCAGCTCAGCCTTGCCAACATGTGGAAGCTGCGACCGCTGCTGAAAATGTGGCTGGAGGAAGTGGATGAGAAGAATCTTCTGGGCTTATGCAAAATGGATATGATTCTGCAGCAGGCTCGGAAGCGGAGACGGGCAAGCCGGGAGCGGCGAATCGGAAACAACCTGGAGAAACTCTTCTTGCAGTGTCCGAAGCCCACGCCCCAGGAGATCAGCCGCATTGCTGGGCACCTCCGGCTGCAGAAGGATCTAGTCCAAGTCTGGTTCTATAACCGGAGCCAGATGGGCAGTTGGCCAGCCAGTGATGCCTCCCTGCGGGAGAATGTGGGGGCAGCCGGGCCTCCTTTCCTAGGGCCACCTGTGTGCTTTTCCCTGGCACCGGGCCTCCGTTTTGATTTCCCCCACTGTGGGGGGCCCTGCCTTACACCCCTGTTCTCCTCCACCCACTTCCCTGCTGGGGGAACCCTGTTCTCTGCCCCAGCTGCTACGCTGGGCCTCCCCAGGCTCTGGAGCTGAGAGGCCTGCCCTGGGCAGGAGTGAGGGGGAGGGTCAGAGAAGAAGTGGGGGAAGGTTGGGGAAGCATCAGGGTTCATAGTCCTGAGTCCTGCATGCACCTGTTAAAGTAAGCATAGGTAGGGGATAAGGGGGGAGTTATTTAGGAAAACTTTGGGAGGGAAGTTGAAGTTTATTGCTGTTTTTTGGTTTTTCCCTAGCATTGATATTAAGGTATATTACAAAATATACATGGTTTGAATAGTTTGTTTCTCTTTTTTTTATTGAAAACGTGTCTGTTGTTCCTTATGGTCATCAAGAAAGAGTTTTTAATTTTTTTTCCTTATAAACACAATATTGAGGGGGAAAGTTAAAATAACAGGAAAACTACTTTAGTACACCTTTTTTTTATTTTTTTAAAAAAGCAGAATGTTGTACAAACACAAAAATCCAGGATAATAATTGCTACTGGGGGAAGACTTGAGAATGGGATAGGAAAGAAGTACACATAGCCCACCAGAGCCCTTGCTGAGATATATGAGTTCTCCTGGGAGTTGCCCTTTTTTGTAATTCATCTTTTCATTTCCCGGGAAAGGGGGGTGGGGGACGACAACACAGTTCTCAGCTCAGCTCTCCATTTATGTGGTATCACTGCAGTCACTAGTCCAAGCCCCTTTGTTACCGAGATGGCAAGCTGGACGGCAGTGGCATCAGCCCCAGCTCCAGCTTACTTACCTAGTTTTCAGCTCCATTTGGTTTGTCTCCTGGAAATACCTCTTGCATTTTTAAGCCCAGATATGCTTTTGAGATCATGTTTGTAAAAGTTTCCTTTTTGCCTTATAACTTAACATTTGTCATAACCATTTTCTTTTTCTATTGACAGTACTGCGGTCTCAGGGCCTTGCATTTACTAGGTAGGCACACTACCACTTGAACCACACAACAGCCGTTTTTTGCTTTAGTTATTTTTTGGATAGGGTCTCAAATTTTCACCCAGGACCAGACTCAGACTAAGATCTTCCTACCTTGGTATTACGGGCCACGACACCTCACCTAATTTATTTTCTGAGATGGGGAATTGCTAATTTTTTGCCTAGGGTAGCCTTAAGTCACAGTCCTCCTGATCTGTACCTCCAAAGTGAGATTATAGGTATGAGCCAGCATGCCCAGCCACTCATGGTAACTATTTTTAAGTGTAAATTCAATTTGTGTAAATGAATTCCATTTCACAATGTACAGCTATCAGCACTATCCATTTCCAGTATTTTTTCACCATCCTAAAACATAAACTCTGTGCCTATTAAGCAATACCTTCATTTTCCCTAGCTCTAGACCCTAATAACCTCTGATCTGTTTTATGTATGTGTGAATCTGTTTGTTCTAGATATTTTATATTTGTAAACAGAAAGAATAGCTGTCCTTTTGTGTCAGACTTATTTCTCTTCTTGTGTTTTCAAGCTTCATCCATTTATAGCATATATCAGACTTCATTCTTTTTGTGCCTGAATAATATTCCCCTGTATCGAGAATACCACATTTTGTTTATCCATTCAACACATTGGTTGGTTTATTTCCATGTGTTGGCTATTGTGAATAATGCTGCTATCAACATTTCCAATCAAGGATTTTTTTTGAATCTCTGTTTTCAGTTTTCTTGAATGTATGCCTAGGAATGAAATTGGTGCATCACATGAAACTCTCTTACTTTTTGGGAAACTGCCAAACTGGCTTACTCAGCAGATGTACTATTTTATATTCCTACCCGGAGTGTACAGGAGTCCAGTTTCTCCATGTCCATACCAACATTTGTTATGTTTCTTTTTTTCCTTTTTATTACAGCCATCCTGTAGATGTAAAGTGGTATTTCATTGTGGTTTTGATTTGCATTTCTGTAATAAGTAATATTGAATATCTTTTCATATGTTTATTTCCAATTTGTGTTTTTTCTGTGAATGAATATCTATTTAAGTCCTTTGTTTTTGAAATTCAGTTTTCCTTTCTATCTATACATATTCTAAATATTTAACCCTTATCAAATATATGGCTTGAAAATATTTTCTCCCACTCTATGAGTTGTTCTTTTACTCTCACTAGTGTTCTTTTGACGCACAAAAGTTTTTTTAATTTTGATGGGGTCCAATTTACCCATTTTTTTTCTTTTCCTATTTGTGGTTTTAGTGTCACCATATCCAAGGTCATGAAGATTTTCTCGTATGTTTTGTAAATTTTATTATTTTGTCTCTAAAATCTAGATCTTTGATCCCTTTTGAATTAACTTTTGTATACAGCATAAGGCAAGGGTCCAACTTCATTCTTTTGTGTGTAGATATCCAGTTACTCAACATCATTTATTGAGAAGAATGTTTTTCTCTATTGAATGGTCCTTGCACTCTTGTCAAACAATCAATTGACCATATGTGTAAGGAATTATCTCTGGTTCTCAACTCTATTTTTATACCAGTAATATATTGTTTTGGCTCTGTAGCTTTGTAGTAAGTTTTTAAATCAGGATGTGTGAGTCCTCTAATTTTGTTCTTTTTAAATATTGTTTTAGCTATTTCTGGGTTGCTTGGAATTCCATATGTATTTTAGGACTGGTTTTCCTATTTCTGCCAAAACACCATTGTGATTTTGTTACAAATTGCACTTGCATCTGTATATTGCCTCGAAGACTATAATCATCTAAACAATATAAATTCTCCTAATTCATGAAAACAAGATGCCATTCCATTTATGTCTTTTTTAATTTGTTTCAGCAATGTTTTGTAGTTTTAAACATATAAGCCTCATACCTCCTTGATTAAATTTATTTCTAGATATTTTATTTTTGGGATGCTATTGTAAAGGAAATGAAATAAAGCGGAAAAAAGGTTTCCATAATTTCCTTTTCAGAATTGCTCATTATTAATTGTTTGAAATACCATTGATTTTTCTGTGCCAATTTTGTACCTATAGCTTTTTTGATTTAGTTCTAACAGGCCTTTGGTGCATTCCTTAGGGTTTTGTACATATGAGATCATGTTATCTGTGATAGAGATAGTTTTACTTCTTCCTTGCCAATTTGTGTACTCTATTTCTTTTTCTTGCCTTATTGCTTTGGTACAAACTTATAGTACTGTGTTGTATCAAGGTGGCAAAAGTGGACATCTTTGTCTTTTTCCTGAGTTTAAGAGAAAAACTTTTTTTTTTTACCATTCGTATGATGTTAACTGTGAGAGGTTTTTTTTTGTCACATATGATCTTTATCATTTTAAATTCCCTTTTATCCATAGGAAATTGAATATTTTTATATAAGAGGTATTTTTGATCCATTTCCCCTGAATAAATAAAAAACTGTTTAAGGGATATATGATATCAGTGACTGTTTTATAGAATTGTAACTACCAACACCACTTATTCCTTCCACATTTAACCCATAACCAGGGGGCCTTATTCTCATAACATTCCTGTAAGATTCAATGACCTGCTTCTAGGTGATAGAACCAGATCTTCCATACTCTACAGCATGGAGCAGCCCCATATGTACCTCATCTTTCAGGAATGAACTGTCAAAGAGCTGTAAAGATAAGAAAGTAAACATTCATGTAGTACTTACATTCTTCTAACTCTTTAAAAGTTACTTACTCATAAAGAACAAACTGTAGCATTTAATTTTCAAATTATAGATATAAGCTGTGTCATTTCAAGTGGACAATAGGTATGTGCAGAAATTACATATGTACATCTATAAGTTTAGATTGAGTTCCCAGATTATCTGATTAAGAAAATAGATCACATTGGAAATGTGACAGGCACAGGAGGTACAAATGAACCATATTTCAGCACAACTTCCCATGATCCAGTGTCACTGATAACAGTGCCCAAAATAGAGCCCCAGACCTATACATTTGGAGAAAATTCATTTCTATACTTATAGCATTTTTACACTTGGGGCTTATATCACTGCTCAAGAAAAATTTCAGCCCTGTCCTGAATGTCTCCATTTAAGAAAATGTTTCAGCTGGATGCAGCAGAACGTGCCTCTAATCCCAGCTACTTGGAATACTAAAGCAGAAAAATTACTTGAGTCTAAGAGTTAAGATCAGTTTGGGTAACAGAGTAAGATTCTGTCTCTAAAATAAAAACAAAAACTAATATAAATAATTAAAAGGTTAATAAAAGAAAAAGAAAAAATGTTGAGAAACATTAAGGTGTTCTGCTTCTTGAACAAAATTCAATGACAGAGAGTCCATAACCTCATGTACAGAAAAAGACTGAGTTAGTGCCTAGTCTCTGCTTAGCCTTACAGCATCCCAGAGAGATTTTTTCTTCTTGTCAGTATCTGAAGATAGACTGAGGATACCCATAGGTTAGTGTAAGTTCAGTGAAACCACAATTGCTTAGCATTCAATTTAGTAGGTGATTTGTCACTTACTATTGGACTGCCCACTAAAAGTCACACACCACCACCCCATTCCTTACTTTTCCTAGACTGCCCTTCTGGAAAGACTAGGGAGGGAGATTTCAGGCCATCTCTAAAGCCAGAATGAACAATTGGTTGTGCTATAAACATTCAGATTCTAAAAGCTGTGAGAAGATGCTGATTCAGGCTCTTCTGGAGTTTTTCTCTGCCCACTGCAGATTTGAAGAAATGGTGATGGGTTCTCAGTATCACAGATAGCCCCACAGGCCTAACTCAGCACCTGCAGAATATAAGCAAAATAGTGTGTTTAAATATATGTACATTTTCTTTGAAGATGGTTGGTAGCCTTCATAACATTTGCAAAGGGGACCATGACTCTTTCCCGATCTACAATTTCAGAATTGATATACCTTCTCTTTGTCCACCTTACTTTTAGGAGTATTCCCCTGACAGTGCCCTATCTAATGAATAATTCTTGATCTTCAAATCTGTATTTTCTGAATATCTTCAACTCAGTGCACTGCTAAGACCCTGAATCACTTTTGATGAAAGTCAAGTTCAAACCAAATGCTCTATTGATTATTGCCTTAGTTGTTATATTTCTATCAATCTTTGGTACTTTAAATTCTTATCATAAATAACAAGTGAAAATGAGGTATTTTGGATATCTAATCTAGTTTTTTTAAAATCTGTCTTGAATTAGCATATAACTTTTTTCTATAATTTCACATTTTTGAAATAACATTCTGTTTATCCTTGTTTATTTACTATACTAGAACTGTATCATGGGGATTTATTTTCAGAATAGCCACTTTTGTTTATGGCTTTCTTTTAGAAATGGTCTTGCTTACTAAACAGTATTTGATTTTCTTGGCAGAATCTATTCATGATGAATTCTTTTTACAGAGCAAATTGGTGTTATCTATATAGAACATTGTTTTTAAAGTAAAAACTACAATGCCATCCCAATAAAATCCTAGTGGGGTGTATGGTTGACAAAGTGATTCTAAACTAAAAGAATAAAACTTAGGAAAATAGCTAAGGAAAATTTGAAGATGAGTCAGGCAGCCTTAGTCTACCAGATGTTATGAGACTCCCAGAGTTTAAACACTATAGTAGTGGTGATGGACAATGAGACTCCCAGAGTTTAAACACTATAGTAGTGGTGATGGACAAAGTCGCAGAAAGGAACACTTGGCTACCTACTTCTTTGGAATGTGAATTGGTGCAATCTTCCTGAAAGGCTATTAGATAATTCATATGAAAGTTTTTAAGTGTGCATTCCCAGGCTGGAAGTGTGGCTCATGTGGTAGAGCACTTCCCTAGTAATCACAATCCCTGAGTTAAAACCCCATTATGCTCACCTCCCAAAAAATGTGCATTCCCTTTAGCCCATCATTTCAACTTTTAAGAATTTTATAGAAAAGTATTATGTGTATGTGTGTGAAAACTAGCAATAAGGATGGTGGTCATTACAGCAACAAAAAACTTTTTTTTGTTGTTGTTGTTTTGGTTTTTGACATAGGATTTCATTATGCAGCTTAGGCTGGCCTTGAATTTAGGAACCTCTTGCTTCAGCCTTATAGTCTTTGATTACAGGCATGCTTGGATTATAAGCATGTACCACCACTCCCAGCCCTAAAGAACTTATTAACAAAAAACGGAAGCATCCTCCATGTTCAACAAATTGTGAAGTAAATCATATGGAACACCATAGGTAAAACTGTGCTATAGAAACAGTTTTTTATCAACAAAGTTCAGAGTAGATTGTTGAATGAAGTAAAACAGTTCATTGAACTTTATAATACCATTTTTAAAATAAATATAATATATAAGAAAAATTTTAATATACATTGGTTTGTTGATGATTTTTAAAGAATTTTTGCTATATGTATTACTTACACAATAAAAAAAACCAAAAAAATGTATTTAAAGGAAGGCTTTAAGAAATGTACAGTTCAAAAATATCCATTCTCCCAGTCTTTTTTATCACCTAGATATTTAAAAGAGAAAATCTACCCTTTTGATTTTTAATTACATTGTAGTTGCTATATAATAAAGACAGTTCTCTGAACAAAGGGAGTACTAGGAATTCAACTTAGAAAGACATTGCAACTTTAGGATTTTTTTAAATCAGATCCCCATTAATGTTAAAGAGCTCTAGTATCATTAGTAAGTGAAAACACCTGCCATGT